GGCCTCCCCTCCTCCCCGCCAGACCCCGCACAGACCCCTCCCCCCATTTCAGGCCTCCCCTCCCACCAGGCACAGCACAGACCCCTCCTCCCAGATCAGGGCCCCCCTCCCTGCCAGACACCATACAGACCCATCCCCCCAGGCACCACACAGACTTCCTCCCCCAGATCAGCAGCCCTCCTGTAGCATTGTCACTTGCTAGAGGGCAGATTATCCTCCCCACTTGACAGATGGGGAAACTGAGGCACAGAGCAAGGCCAGCCTGGGGTGCTAGCAGCCAAGCCAGGAATAGAAGCCAGGCATTCAGGCACTCAGCACATTCACCCTAACGCCCACTCCCAGGGCAGCCTGTCCCACACCCAGACAATCTGCCCCCGGCAGCACAGCTACAGGTGACAACTCCACACCAGGGCCAGGATCCCCCAGCCCAGTGAGGGCAGCACCAGGCGACTTACCCAGGGCAGAACAGCTAGGCACAGGCAGCACAGTTCAGCCCTCCCCTGGCTCAGCTGGTTAAGTAGGGCAGGGCCCAGACCACACCCAGGCAGGTGGGGACAGGTCTGGCTGCCTGGGCTGGGGGCGGGAGGAAGGGTTGAGCCTAGATTCTCAGCCTCAGCCAGCAAGGAGCCAATCTGGGCACCGCAGCAGGGATCGGGCAGCTCCTCGGCGGCTAGGCACCAGGGAGACGAGTGTGGAGGTCTCTGCGTGGTCCCCTCTCGTGTGTCAATGCTGCAAAGCGTCAGAGTGGGAGCCAGGACTCCTGGGTTCTCTCCCCAGCTCTGTGAGGGGAGTGGGGTCTGGTGGGTTAGAGCAGGCAGGCTGGGAGCCAGGACTCCTGGGTTCTCTCCCCAGCTCTGTGAGGGGAGTGGGGTCTGGTGGGTTAGAGCAGGGGCAGCTGGGACTCCTGGGTTCTTGCCCTGGCTCTGTGAGGGGAGTGGGGTCGGGGGGCCCTGAGTTCCTGGCTGGTTGTGGGTAACAGAATTGCAGGATTATGCAGCGTGCTAGAAGTCAACATTCAATGAGGGATTCCTGGGCGAGCAATGGCTGCAGGTTGGGAGTGAGGAGCGCTGGCAGGGCAGGGCAGGGCTGGGCTGGCAGGGGCTGAGGGGTGGGAGTGAGGGACACCAGCAGGGCTGGGCCGGTGGGCTGCTGGTCGGGAGTGAGGGACACCAGCAGGGCTGGGCTGGCAGAGGCTGTGGAGTGGGAGCGAGGGGGGCCGGCAGGTCTGGGCTGGTGGGGCTGCAAGGTGGGAGTGAGGGACACCAGCAGGGCTGGGCTGACAGGGGCTGTGGGGCGGGAGCAAGGGGGGCCGGCAGGGCTGGGCCGGTGGAGCTGTGGGGCAGGAGTGAGGGGGCCGGCAGGGCTGGGCCGGCAGGGGCTGCAGGGTAGGAGTGAGGGGGGCTGGCGGGACTGGGCCGGTGGGGCGGGAGTGAGGGGGGCCAGCAGAGGCTCCAGGATGGGAGTGAGGGGGGCCGGCGGGGGCTGCGGATCAGGAGTGAGGGGCACCAGCAGGGAGCCCAAGGCTGGGAGCAGGTCCCACTTGTCTGTATGTTCAGGACATTCCCTCCCAGCTCCGTATTTGCCGTTCCCGGACGCTGACGTTGCCCAGCAGCGAAAGCCCTGGCACAGCCTGGCCCCCGGAGATAAAGGGGGGGAGCGGTGCTGCAGCTGATGCTGGGAAAGGTTAAAGAGCTGGTGATGGGCACCTCCAGCCCTGCCATGGGGGCGCCAGCAGCAGGACTGGAGACCTCCATTCACTTTAACAGCGGGACCTGGTGTGGGCAGGATGGATCATCAGCTGGGAGCCAAGACTCCTGGGTTCTTTCCCCAGCTCAGAGCGGGGAGTCAGGGTCTAGTCATAGGTGCTGGAACTTGGGGTGCAGGGGATGCTCCAGCACCCCTGGCTTGAAGTGGTTTCCATGTTATTCAGGGTTTACAGTTTGGTTCAATGGCTCTCAGCTCCCCCACTATACACATTGTTCCAGCGCCCTGGGGCCTAGTAGTTAGAGCAGGGACAGCTGGAGTCCTGGCTCTAAACACTAGAGCCCAACTCCCCTTCCACAGCTGGCAGGAGAACCCAGGCTCAGCAGGGGGCGCTGTGCTGCAGGGAGCGGGGCGGGGGCTCAGCAGGGGGCACTGTGCTGCAGGGAGTGGGGTGGGGGCTCAGCAGAGGGCGCTGTGCTGCGGGGAGTGGGGCAGGGGGTTAGCAGGGGGCGCTGTGCTGCGGGGAGTGGGGCAGGGGGTCAGCAGGGGGCACTGGGCTGCGGGGAGCAGGGTGGGGGCTCAGCTGGGGGCGCTGTGCTATGGGGAGCGGGGCGGGCGGCTCAGCAGAGGACACTGGGCTGCGGGGAGCGGGGCAGGGGGTTAGCAGAGGACACTGGGCTGCGGGGAGCGGGGCAGGGGGTTAGCAGAGGGCACCTGGGTGCGGGGAGCGGGGAAGGGGGGTAGCAGAGGGGAGCG